GTCGCCGCCCCTGAACTCGAGTAACATGCTCTGGGTGGTGCAGCTCGGACGCTTCCGTTTCCTAACTTTTAGACTGTTCCCTGAAGAGAAGTTACTGGCAGGTCATTCGGTCGGGATGAATTTCAGGGTCACCAGCGGGGTCCACCTACGGTCTCTGTGGCCAAGTTAGAAATCATCTCTCATCCCCCTTCTGTCTGCACCCGTTGCTGGAAGGGCCGCCTCCGTATATTGCATTGGTAAAGGTAGTCTTCGCTTGTCTTATTAAAAAGCCTATTTTTAATTCTTTTGAAGTGAATCCCCAGTGTTTAGGCCAAGTCTCTGGGAATCTTTAGGAAGGTATACAGGCCCTTCTGCTTGCTTGTGCAAGTTTCGTTCACCATCATTTGACCTTTTGGTAACCTTACACATTATAGGATGAAGGCTAATTAAACAATTTAGGTCGTAATTAAAAGATCTTTTAACTTTTAATTATAGAAAACGATTTAAACTATTCTTGAGGTAACGGAGGGAAGTATTTGTCCACTTACCTGTTGATATGCTGCCCAGACAGAAGACACCCGAGCATGAGTGTGGGAGAGCTTTTGATGTCATGTTAGCAAGACTCATGCAATTATTACATCTTCAATTGTTATGTCTTCAGTGGCCCCTTGTACTGCTTTCATCAGTTGTACAGCATGGGTTGAGGTGGCCAGATCCTGGCAGGGGTCTCAACTCCACTAATAGCTAAAGCATGTTGGGGTTTGAATGCTGGATACTTTGAAGTTGCCATATCCTGACTGAAGACCTTCCCAGAACGGCAGTAGTTGGTCGAGTATGCCACAGGTTATCTGGTTGAGTAATCTGAGATTAGCTCTCCTAATGTTAACTTTGAAACTTTTACAAATTTAATGATTACAAATTAATGAGACACTTTAACTGAAATATTCTATGGGGAGCTAAAAAGAACTCCGCTGTTCCAGCAACATTCAGTTCTGTTTGTTAATTCGCCAAATGAAATGATGTTTCTGTTTACAACTTTGTTTTTAATTTTGCCCTGTGGATAATATCTGAAGTTAATTTGGGGCCCTTTTTTCTGATCTTTTGCTTACTGCTTTTTCGCAACCATGTGCAACCTTCTGCCCTCCCACTCTTCCCTTTGAGTCGCTGTAACCTTTGATCAGTATTTGACTTATTCTCTACCATAGTATGGTCAACAGACTTATCTTTTTTCTCTGGACTCTGATATTTGAACTTGAATTTGGGATGTATTCCAAGAATGTTTTCATTATATAATGTGGATTACTTTCAGTAAAAGATCTCAATAGAGGTTTGTATTGCTTCTTGTTTTGTGATTGCTCTTCTGATAATTTGAAGTTTTTCTATAGCTTTCAATGACAGTATTCTGCCACCTGGCCCCAGCAATAACTGTTTAACTATCCCTCCAAGCTGAGGTGCTTTATTGCTGGGTTTCTTTTATAAACACAGACATAGTGTCTTTAGAGAATCCTTTTTTTTTTTTTTAACAAGGTAGTTCATAGAATTTTAAAAGATATCTTTAGAAATGGACTTTGCCACCTTTTTTACAACCAAAATTAAGATTCAGGCAAGTTGGCTAGTACTGATTAAGAAAGAGGTTAAATGGGGTTCTAGTGAAGAGAAAATCCCATGGGGTAGAATTGGCAGTCTTGATTAAGTGGAGAAAAAAAATCTAGGCTTTAGGGAAAGGCGTTTTCTCGTCTTTATTTCTGTACCCTGATGTGCAGGTTGTCTTAGCTCCACAGGGCCGACGCTTTTCAAAGCTGAAATACCCTCTCATGAGTCAGATTCTGTTTGGCAAGAAGGGGATGTTCTTCAGACAGCTGCCGAAGAGCTCTTTTGTTAGTGCCAGCTTCAGCCAGCTTGGCTCCAAATGAAGTGTCAAGGAATCGCAAAGCCCCCAGATGGGAACTGTGAAAGCCGTTGGTTTTTAGTTGAGGATCTTAACATTTCCATGACTGTTTTGAACAAATTTACAAAATTTCTTCATTTCCAAATATCACAATCTCTATTCCTATCTCCATTTTCTTCTAGCGGTTTTCTGACTTAGTGATGAGGTTATAGAATTCAATCTTCTTTTGTTCTCTTCGTTCATACCTCCATACACTGTATTACCGTTCTTTAGATATGTGTAAGGGAGTGAGGGAGATTCTTTGCAGTAAATATTTCAAAGGTGAATGCCTGGAGTTGATAATTTGGCTTTTTTTCCTGACACTTTTACTTGTAAATAGACACTATTTGTCTACTTAGAAGATCTTCCTGAAGTTTCACCATTAAAAGCAGAGTATTAAAAGTTCCGAGTTCTTACAATGAAGTTATATGTGAAAAGCTTAGCTTATATGGCAGATAATGCATGTGTTCTGTCTTCCCTCTCTTAAGAAAACCTATAATAGGCCAGGCGTGGTGGCTCACGCCTGTAATCCTAGCACTTTGGTCGGCCGAGGCTGGCGGATCACAAGGTCAGGAGTTCGAGACCAGCCTGGCCAACACAGTGAAACTCCGTCTCTACTAAAAATACAAAAATTAGCTGGGCGTGGTGACAGGTGCCTGTAATCCCAGCTACTCAGGAGGCTGAGGCACGAGAATCACTTGAACCCGGGAGGTGGAGGTTGCAGTGAGCCGAGATCATGCCCCTGCACTACAGCCTGGGCGACAGAACTAGACTTCGTCTCAAAAAAAAGAAAAGAGAAAAGGAAACCTGTAATATGTAAAATGCCTTACTCCGTGTTTGGGTACATAATACATCTTCATCTTTTGTATTCTTTTTTTTTCTTTTTTTTTAAAAAAAATTGAGATGGGATTCTCTCCATGTTTCCCAGGCTGGTCTGTAATTCCTAGGCTCAAGGGATCCTCCTGCCTTGGCCTCCTGAAGTGCTGGGATTACAGGCATCAGCCACCATGCCCAGCCATCTTCTGTATTCTTGAAAGAAGATTTTAGTGAGATATCTGTAAAAAGAACTGAATGGATTTTAAAATTCAATTTAATGTACTAAATTTAAAGTTTATGCAGCTTCTGACTGAAGCTGATGAAGTATATTTTTCTAATGTACATAGTTATTCAAAGTATGAATTCATAGTATTTTATTTAAATTTTGTTGTCTTTGTGTTTCAGTATGAAAACCCATGGACAATCCCAAACATGTTGTCAATGACGAGAATTGGCTTGGCCCCAGTTCTGGGCTATTTGATTATTGAAGAAGATTTTAATATTGCACTAGGAGTTTTTGCTTTAGCTGGGCTAACAGATTTGGTAAGTTGTAAATGCACTCCCAGTTTGCTCTCCTTCCAAATGCTCATCTGTACTACTAAGTTGAAATAGCATAGCCTTAGCTTGCTTTTCCTTGGGAGGAAACCCTCAAGATGAATTTGACGTAGTACTTTTTGTGAGGACTTTGTCTTTAGCATCTATATGGGATTTTTTTTTTTTATATATATGATTTCAGGGAGGAAGCGAAGGTTGTAGGGAAGTAAAGGAGGGGATACTTTGCACTCTTGGTTTTTAAGAGTGAAAGAAACACCCTTAGAAATTTCCAAAGAGCTGAGTGCTTGCTTTAGGGATAGAAATAAGGGAGAGGAGATCTGAGATGACTTTTCTATGTATTGTGATAAAGAGGAGTACTCTGATCTGCAATTGGTTTTCCTAGCGGAGAGGGAAACTGGACCAGTTGTTAGGACACAGGGAACTAGGATGTAACCAGGGAGCATGTAGAACTCATAGCTTTGCTCAGGTTTCATGCTAGCAGGAGGCTGTAGGTACCCCCACAGATTTATTTTCTGATCTCTGCTCTACACCCCTCTGGCTGCCCTGCAGAATGCTCTGAGCTGACAATTGAACATCCTTCCTTCTTCTCCTCCCTCAGCAGATGGACAAAGAAGAGGAACTCTCCTTGATACCACAATGTTAGTTTTGATAGAGGAGAGGAGAATTTATTCAAATGATCTCAAATTAGAACTGGAAAATAATTTTATAACAAAAGGCTACGTTAAATAGGCTTTTGTGGACTGGCTAGCCATCATCATGTATGACATTATTTGTATTACCAACTTTATTTCATGAAAGTTTTGAAATGCCTTATAAAACTGGCTGGACACAGTGGCTTACACTTGTAATTCCAGTGCTTTGAGAGGTCAGGAGTTTGAGACCAACCTGCACAACATAGCAAGAGCCTATCTCTACAAAAAATTTAAAAATTGGCATGGCTGCACACGCCTGCAGCCCTAGGTACTCAGGAGGCTGAGGCAGGAGGATTGCTTGAGCTCAGGAGTTCAAGGCTGCAATGAGCTGTGATCTCACCACCGTGCTGTAGTCTGGGTGACAGAGCAAGACCTTGTCTCTTAAAAAAACAAAAAAAAAGGGAAAACGTCATGCTGTATAAAAATGTAGTTGAGGAAAGTGTGGAAAAGATGAGGGAATAATTTTAAACCAGGGCGAAGTTAGCAGGAGAAATAGATACATTATATTCAGGTACAAGGTTGGTCTGAGATCTATATGAGCATCCAGACAGGTGGTGCTTTGGTGCCTCTTCAAACTAATTTATGTTTGAAAAGCTTTGATCAATTTTGCTCAATATTTATTGAGATTTGAGAAAAACTAGTTTTATATTAATAAAAGTCGCATGACATCTTTCTTTGTAACATCAGCTGTTGTCTTTGAGGTTCATAGAAACAAAATTCCACGTGCCTAGTAGCAGAAGCATTGGTAGGCAACATAGAATTAACTGAAGATTTCGGAGTGCAGACAGAAGAGAGCATTTGCACTGTTGCATGGCATTTCCAAACCTGCTTCAAATGTAGTCTCTCAAATTGGCTTTACTTCCCTTTTTCCAGAGTTTAGCTTCTACTAATATTTGTCACCGCCTCTTCCCATTCTCACAATCTTTCTCCTTTTATTTTGTCTCTGCCTTTTTTTTTTTTTTTTTTTGGAGACGGGAGTCTCACTCTGTCGCCCAGGCTGGAGTGCAG